GCAAAGAGTCATATAAAATGTAAAAACACATAACATAGTTATACAAGGTCCACATCCACATAACATATATTAAAAGAGTCTAAATCAAATTTCCAAACAGAAGATCAGTCGCGATCAATCGCAATCCATTGGTTCGGCTTCCGAGTCAACATCGTCTAATGCATTCACTTCTACATCAAGGTCCACATACACATCTTCTACTTCAACTCTAGTCTGGTCATGATCATCATCATCATCTCTATAACGCTCCCTTTTGCTCCTCGTACTAGGCCCGATGTCTACATTTCCACCCATCGCTTCTCGCACATCCGACCAAAGAAGACCATCATGTGAATCCACAAAGTCTTGAAGTTCAGCCTCTGTCGGTATCGTCCACTCGTCATTTTCCTCTACATCTCTCAACAAAATAGGATCAGTTTTGTTGCTTTTTAGAGATTCAAATCTCCTTTGTAACCTTGTGTTATATTGGATAAACACAAGGTCGTTGAGTTTTTGCTATAAAAGACAATTCCTTTTTTTGGAGTGTAACTAAAAGAAAAGAAATATGAAAAGTTAGTTAGAGTTTCAAACTTTCAATTAAACTAATGTAATCTATAATTTATAAAAAAAAATTGTTAAAAAGACTTGCATTGTCAAATGTACTCCAATTGCGTTCACAAGGTGAAGCACTACATATTTGACTAAGGACCTTGATAGCAAAATTTTGAAGCAAAGGAGTATCGATCCCATAAGAACGCCACCATATATCTATATTTTATAAATAAACATAAGTTAATAAAAAATAAGAAATAATAAGATTTGATTGCATTATAATTTTTTACTTACATGGTGCAACTTTCATTCTACTTCTTTTAGCGGCTGCAGATCCAAATTGGCATTCTGAATCAATGTAGATATTCAATTGTTGTCTTAAAAGATCATTCCTTGAGTCGTTGGTGGCTTTGATTAATCTTCTCATCACTTATTTTGATAGCAGAATAGTGGATTTGGGATTGATCGCATTAGCAAGAACAGCGCAGTCGTACTCGTAGCACGCAAGGAAAAATATGTTTGTGGTTGACTTGTTTCCAATTTCTTCCGATATCTAATTAGGTCACGAATTCAGAAAATAAGCGTGGGCTTATAGTATTCGCAGATGTGGGCTGATCCATACAAATAACTTATGTTTTTAATAAATATGTATAAAAAGCCCAAATAATCAAATATCGGAAAAGAAGTGGGACATCGGTTTGGAAATATCGGTCAAATCGCGGCTGATATCAGCAAGAATCCTGACTCCGATATTTTTGAACGATATTTGAAACCGTAATTTTCAAAACACCTGTGAAACGAGATCCCACCGAGATCCCACCGGGATCTCGGCGCTATTAACTGCCCAGGTTAGGATTCGTTGGACCGTTTGATGGGAGCAAAAACTATAAATTCCTTCATGGGCACATTAATGTAAAAATATTAAAAATCGTATTATTGAATTTGATGATACGACCACTCGTTACGGGCAACGTCGAAAGGCGTTATTCCGATGTGGCCAACAAAAAAACGGTGTCTTAACGCGCGAAACACCCCCCTCCCCGGTGGCGTTATTTGGTGTTGCGACATTAGCCTTGTTTGTGGTAACGGGAGGGAATGACTCCAATTTTGGTGAAATTTCTCAAACGGTCAAAATTTAAACCGTTTAAAAACCGTTACAAACCCCGCAAAAAAATATCTTA